TGGCAGGGCGAGCGGGGCCGCAGCCCGGCGGCGAGAACCGGCTGCGGCGGGGGGTGGAACAAGCCGAGGAGCCCTACGAGGGGGCAGCGAGGAGGTGAAGGGCAGCGTTTGGTGCTCCTGGGGTGGCCAGGGCTCTGGGGCTCTCTTCTGATGGCTGCTCTCCAGGCCCTGCCTGTCTTCGTCTGTTCTCACCTTGAATTAGTGAATCAACTCAACGTTTATTTTACTCCCAATATCACCTTGGTGACAGGAAACATATTTCTACGCTCAAATCCCTGTGATGAAGTCTCACATTCCTGTGTTTTCCTAAATAAGAATAGGTGGAAGCATGTACTTATCCATTTTCCCAAGTCAGGGTCATTCACTCCTGATTTCTGTCAGTTCCTTCACATAGCCAGAAATTCAGGTGCATTTTCAGAGCACTTTAAGTGATTCGGGAACTTACTCCAATACGAAATGTGCCCTGGCCATCCGGAATTTCGCTGTAACTTTGTTCTTAAGTGTCTTAAGCTGCATTTGAACGTGTGCCCAGAGTGCTTTTATGAAAAAACGGATATCAGGAGCAAAATCTACTGTCATCTTGTCACCAGCTGGGCTTGGAGAGCTTGAAACTGGACTGAGGAATTAGATCCTGATCCAGGAGGAGAATTAGGTCCATCTGTACTTTGCTGGGCCAGGGTAGAAGCACTCAATGCCTTGTAAGCATGTATGAGCAGAGGTTTTTCTTAGAGGGATGAAATTGTTAGGAAGCAGGAACAGAGAAGGGATGGAATATTGTGAATTCTCCAAAGTATTCTGTTGGCTTCTACTTTAAGGAAGAGGTAGAGAGCAAAGCAACGCTCAGTAATCTACCCAGTTAACAGCATCAAATGCGTGCTAGGAACCTCTGCTCAGAGAAAGGACACAATCCATGCTTTGAGGAGAATAAACTATCTGTCAAAACACTGTTTTCCAGCAGTAGAGATGCCACAGCCGATAAATGCTCCCTAAATCTTATCTTTTCCTGTCCCATACAGATTTAGTCCCATATGGGACATACAGCTAAAAGTAGCACCACGTCTTTCATTCCTGCACTGAGTTCTCCTGGGTTCTCATCAGTACAACCTCAGAGAGCAGGAGCGGAAAGTCTTTCTCTACTGTCAGGATGAAACCTAAATTGCATCTCTAAGCCAAAACCAAGATTACTTCAGCTTTTCAAGGTTTCTTCTCTTTTCTCTCTCTTTTTTTTTTTTCTCCAAATGAGCAACTTATGTTCTAACATTTGTAGTGGTAGGCAGAGTTTTGTAAAGCCACAACTATTTTGCTTCCCTAACAGACATTTTTTTGGTAAAAACTAAGGTATTTCTGATTTATGGCCCAGCTGCTGCCACTGTGGATATTCAGAATCTCTCTTTGCCAATCATTTGCAAAACAGAGCTAAAGGAGTTGTGACATTCTCAGCTTCGAATTGTCTCACTGGAATTCATCAGTATCTCCTTAATTGGCTAAAAGGAATGCTGCAAAAAATGCTGCGTTCGAAGCCATTTTAGTTTATCAGGCAGCAGGATGGGAGAAATGTGCATCCAGGACTCTCACACAGCAGAGGGAGTTGCAATCCCCATAGGAACAGGAGGCCAGACCTTTTATACAGTTGTTTAAAAATTATTTCTCGATATGTTTTTCTTTCCCTTTAGATCAGCAGGGAAAGAATGTCAGCCTAAACTCTTGGGGGAAGCTGAATCCTTCACATAGCTCTTTTTTTTTATTAATAGAGTTTAATGAAGGAGTTGTTGAGTAAAGTGCAGTGATTAAGGTCGATGCCAACGGCTGAATCAGGATGGTCTGTGGGCACTGTGTTAACACTAAAATCCAGGGAAAGCAGCTTGCTGTTTGTAGTGTTTCTTAATGCCCCGGACAGCGGTTTCCTTCTCACTTCCACGTCAACATAAGCCCAGAGCGTACTGGCTTAGCACATGCATCTGCTGAGTGAGTATATGGTTATAAGAGGAGATATATAGGAGGAGCAAACCAGCAGGCTTTAGAGAAACATTCCAGCTGTGATCTTTCTTAACACGTATTAATATATTGAGTTAATGCTCTCTTGGACAGATGCTGCTGATGGGATAGAGGAGAAGCGATTACATCCTCCTTTGTTTCCAAATAAGTCACTTTTTCCTGTGAGAGCTGCAAGTGTTATTTCTTCTTTCAAGAATGCTGTCGTAATCATCTGTCACAGCTCTCCCACAACAAATCTTTTTTCAACATATTTTTATCATTAGGACTCCACATGTAATAGATTATTCTCATGTTGTTTAGACTCAAAATATGGATCATAGATTACTTAAAAAGATAAAAACAAGTAAAACATTTTAAAAGTATTTTATTAGTGCCTGTTGACTGGAAAGAGACATTGTCTGACTTTCTCTATGTAAAAATACTTAATTTGTGCATCTCCACTTCTATCACTGATTCCAAGTTTGAAAAGAAAGGAAAAGTGATGTTTCTAGTTTATTATACAGATTATTAGTTATTTATTTGTTAATGATATTATCAGATTCCTATCTCAAGCTGCAGCAATTTTTTTTTATAATTAAGAGAAAGGAGAGAAAAAGTCTCAGAAGTAAAGGGGGAAAATCCGTTCCTTCTTAGTCATAGGTGACCATCAAAAGCCCTGAACAGTGGGATTAATTAGGTAAGTCAGTATAAATAGTAGAAGAAGGATAGTAAACATATTGATAATATTCAGAATCACTCCTTTGCTGTTATCTTTTCCTGCCATGATTTAAGCAAGCTTCTTCTTGAAATAATTTAGTGTGCCTCTGCCATTATCTTGTCTGAAAGGCTGTTCCATATCTTCATCCATACTGAAGTTAGAAACCTTATCATCATTGCTTGGCTTAGGGGAAATTACACTCCTTTGACACTGGACCAGTATTATCCTTTAACTGAAATAGCTCTGTCTCTTGCTGGTATCTACTCTTCGTATGTATTTACAGAGAGTAATCATAGTCCTCAATTCTTTTAACCTCTTGTAAAACAGAATTTCTATTCCCATGATCACCCCACTAGTCGTCTTCTGTACCCGTGCATGTTTTTTAACGCAAACGACTAGAAACATGCACCATGCCTTATCGGAGGTTTACTGATGCCTTATGCGGCGGCACCAATACTTCTTTGTATCTGCTGAAAATACCGGTCCTGCTACATCATAGCACTTTGCATTATTCATGGTTCACAACATTGGAGTCATGCCACCCCAAACCTGCTCTTCCACCTTGTGCTCCCGACCTCATAGCAGAAATTCTTGTGAAAATCCGTAATGCAAGACTGTGCACCTGGCAGTCTTGCATTCTGAGATATTATTCAGTTAATCGAAGAAAAGGGTCTAGGATGAAAGGAGCAATATTCCAGTCTCATTGACTATACATGTAGCTGTCATGAAAAAGACTGCCGCTCGCACACTAGGCTTTCTAGTGGTAGTATTATGCACAAGGAGACCCGTGTCCTGTTACAAAGGACAGTATATTTCGATACACGTTGCATTAGACAACTTACTGCAAGAGACAGGGACATCAAGAAACAAATATATAAAAACTAAGTTATGTTTGTTTGTTTAACCTATTATGATACTAATAGACACCTACTAAACCTGCACTGAAAAGTGACCCGTATTTTCTGCCCAAGTGAAATTAATTTCATGTTGCTACTGTAAATTACTATATTTTCTTCAACAAAAACAACAAAAAAGGAGGAGGACAAATGGTAACAGTTTCAGAGTGGTTATAGTAAGTATGCATTTTTTTAAACACTTGTAAAGTTGCTCGTGAAAAATCACTGATTTCCAGTGATCTAGAGCACAACTGCATCTAAACGTCTTTAATTTTCATAGAACGTGGCCGTGTCTTACCCTGTTAATCATGCTAACAGGCATTGTCTGATGTATTTCCTTGGCATGCTTACAGATTGAACTGTAATATTCTGCAGACCTAGAACATGTTTATTCAAGGATTTTACAGATGGCACAAATCCAGTTGTAGGTGTAGCAGCCAAATGAAGATCTTGTTTAGTGGATGTTGATGCTTCCATTGCTATGACATTCAGGATCTCGGTCATCTCAGACTCCAGTTGTGCTAGGTGCTATACAAGAAATAACTGTTTTGTGAGTATAGGGTTTGGAGGGATTGTCTAATGGCTTACCAAAACATTAAAAATCTCAGAGAATTTCTCCATTGTTGTGCAGGTGTTTTCTTATGCATTTTTCTAAATGGACCAATTTCACTTGGATTGACAGTGAATTTCTACCGTTCCCTAGATATGCTTTCACAATATTCCATCTGTAAGCAAGGCAAAAGGATGCTTAAGTGTACATCAGAGCAGTTTCACATTTGAAATGCAATTTAAAATAAAACAACACAGAATGTTAAAGATAGTTTACTTAGTCCAGATATTGGTTCTTGTTTGACTTCCAACATCTTAAGTTGGTAACAGATCCTGCTGAGGGGATTTGGATCATAAAAATGTTAAGGCTGCACAGTAATAACAAGGAATGACTGGAGCATGAAGATTCACCATCTGAGATGTTATGACGTGTGGATTTATTTTTTTTCCTTTTAAAAAGGCACCTTCATTCCGTTGTTTCCCAAAGAACAAAGTCATGAAACACTGCTCCCCCTTGAACTGAATGGTGAGGCCACCTCACCCAGTCTGTGCCTTCCGTGTCCGTTCCCTTCTCAGCCTATCTACCCAGATCTACTGTACGAGGGACCAAAACCTACTTTGTTTTGTGAAAGCTAAACATTCCCACCGTCCCTGCATGCAGCCATTAGCAGAGCATGGCTCCTCTTATAAACAGTGTATGAAAGGCTATAAACAAAGCTAGGGAAGTATATGAAAGGCTGCAAATAAGGCTATTTCAGGTCTACCTTTAGTTTAAACTGCTTAACTTTACTAACACCATAGCGTCTTCCTCATTGGTATCTTTTGCCTTTGTTCCTCTTAGCAAGAACACAGAGACTAAAGAAATGGAAAAATTCACTCATCTGGAAGCTCTGCTGTTTACTGCTGTGCTGGAGAGTTGTGTCGATCAACTCTCAATTCTTGGATATATCATGCCAGTTTCATATGAAGGCAAGACAGACCTCAGCCATGTATGTGCCTCTATCCTCCCTGCTTAAAAAAAAAAAAAAAAAATCTTTTTTTTTCCTTGTCTTGGTTTTATGTCTTGTACCAGCATTTTTAAAAAATCAGCTCAGATATTTTTTCTGCTAAGTGCTCCATGACCCTTGGGTGAAGAAACACAATAAAAGTGCATGGGTGACCAATTTTAGTATTTATACCGCACCATCACTGAGAAGCCTTTGTCAAGACTTTGTGCAAAGGACCCTACTGACCCCAGATGAGGTTCCTGGGCTTATAATTTTAAAATCTTGGTGGTTAGATGACAGGCAAAGGATTAGGGAAAAGGAAGCAAAAGGTTCTTGTGTAGATACACAGCTATTTTAAAAATACAAATGAAAAGGATATTTGAAAATACTCAAACCCAGGGTAATTCTGTTCCTCTCTTAAGTCCATGCTAAAGTTCCTTTAGTCCCCACTGACAATGAATTAAGAAAGATTCCACTTCAAAATATATTAGTAACTACCCATTCTCAATGACCATTATCAATTAGTTGATTTCTAATAGGCATCATAACTAGGAGGGTTTGGGCAGAGATATAAAGAACAGAGAAGAAGCCCTAATGCTCAGGCAGAGGTTTGGTGCTGTGGAGGAAGGTGGTGTGGTATTTCTGGTAGCTGATAGACATAGGAATCAGGATGGGACCATCCTGAGGGGTAAATGGTTCTAAGTTCTGTTGTCATCTATTTTAAGTGATATAACAGGCTGTTTCCAGTTTAAGCAGGTTTGAAACTCTTTTTTAAGAGGAACTCAAAAAAGAACAAAGTGTGTGACCAGGATGGGAATAAAAACTGGGATCCGAGTTTTCAGATCTAATGCTGTTCACTCTGTCTAATGTACCACTTAATAATGCAAGAGGAAGGTAATTCAGTATGTTGTTTTCTACGTGTTTCCTTTCCATACTACCTTCTTTTCAAAAAATCCATTGCAAAGCAGCCGAAGCTGGTGTTAGAGTGAATTTCAGGACGTGAACGATGCTTGGACTGTGCAATAGAGGGCACTCTTCCCCTTAAAAGAGTCCTGTGAGCCAGCCTCACCTGTTTCCAGAGGATGCTTCTCCCTCACAGAGCTGGGTGGGAAACCTCTTTTGTGCCAGCAGCAAAAACACAGAGAAAGAGCGTATCTCTAGGACAGTAGTTGTTCTTCTTCAGTCACACAGACTCAGGTTGATAGACCTGCTAAAGGTACACTTAAATTATAGAGAAAGCACTTTAGCTTTTCTCTTCAATCACAGACGCTCATTTTTACCAAGTCACTTCTTAAAACACAATTTTCTCACAGACTATAAACCCTACTTGTGTTCTTAAAGACGCCAAAACAAATCGAGAAGGAAGCAACTTAGAAACAAGAAAGTGGCTTAGGAAAGCTACTTGCTAACTTTGGTGCTCTGTAATTTGCTACTTCTCCCCGTTTCTCTGTTTACATTTGGCTGTTATCATTGTATTTGTAGAAGACCTATATTTGCAAAGCACCCTGGAGCTCTGTCAGTCAAACAAATCATCGACATTTTCAGACTGACATCTAAATTTCTGCTGATGACATTTTTGAGAGGATTAATCACAGCGTTGGCCAGCACCTCACTGATTTTCCAGATAGGGGACTCTTCTACATTGCTTCACGCAGTGCATCCCCCAGAGGAAGGCAGCCTTTCTATTTGCTAAATTTTGGGCAAAAGACTAGCAAACGATAAACAGCTAGGAGACTACACAGGTGGTAACACATGCAGTTTACAAACTGCTTGCTCTTACATAGTTATTTGGTAATTATTAGTGTGAAAGTCCCTACTGTTTACAGACAATCCAGTTATAGGCTGTCTTGAACTTTCCCAGACATTAAAAAACATCTATCAGAACATTAATAAAATCTGCATGATATTAAAGCAGTTTGTTTGCCAAAATTAATTCTTTCTGAAGTACAGCCATCACCAGCAAATGATTTAAACCCTGTTTTTCTAATTAACTATGTAATTTTCATTGGTCTGTGTATACTTTGCATGCGATTCATTTAATGTAAATTTAACTGTCCAAAAATTAAGCATGTAGTCACCTAGACTCCTTCTGTAGTCAGTGGTGAGTCAGGCACTGCCTGAGGCTGATTCATCCCGCCCGGAGATGTCCAAGATACTCAGAATGAAGCAGCCCCTTGCAGTGCCCTGTGCACTGCCCTCACAGACTACGGCAGCATCGCAGACCACTAATGGAGCCTCGCTTGACAAGTGACTTCTTGGAAGTACTACTGGCATGCACGGTTGCTGCCCTGACCACTTGTTTTCACTCCTTTACGCGTGTGTGGCTGTGGAGGGATCTGGACTTGAGAACTGGTGCTGCTAAAAATAAACTTTTATTTTTCCTTTTTTTCTGGAAAATGTTTCAGCTCGGCGAGTTCTCTAATCCATTTCCCCAAGCAGCCAGGGTGGGGAGTAGGCAGCTATGGACTAGGATGGGTCTGGCAGTGACTGCGTTAGCTGGCTTCAGCGGTGCTGCTATTAAGTGTTCAGCCACAGAGATGCCGGTAGGTGGGCAAGAAAATTTTCTCTTTTAATGTCCCAGTGTATACACCTGCATTCTTACCTGTAGCACATAAAGTAGACAAATTCCTAGAAGCAAGGCCTCAGCTGATTTTATAGCAAGCTTTTGCTTTTCTGGGGCTTTTTCTTTTTTAATAAAATTGTACATGGCCACAAGGTACCTTTCCATGTAGAAGAGAGCTGCCAATAGTTTGAATTTCTTCTTTGAATTCATGTTACACTTCCTCTGCTGTCATTCTCTCAAAAAACCAGCTAAGCAGATAGCTGATGTCTATCACTTTTATTTCCACACATCTCAGCTCTTGTTATAACAATAATATTGTAGGGAAAGGTCGTGGTGACAGGCAGTGGGAAATGGCTAAGATGGAGAGAAGGCGGAGGGAAAACAGGCTAACAGTCTTGCAGTACATAAAAGCCGCTGCAAAGAAGGACGGGATGATTTGTTCTCTCTGCCTACGGAGACTAGGACAAGAAGCAGGGGCTCAACTGCAGCTGAGGAGAAAAAACTTTCTTACGGTAAAGATTGTTGTGACGTGCTGGCACTGGCAGGAGAGTGCATAGTCTCCATTGCTGGAGGTCATTAAGAACATGTCAGGAATGACACAGTCTGAACCATCATCTCTTGGGGCAGATGAATTCACCTTTTGAGGCCTTTTCTAGTCCTGTCACTTCAGGACTTTTGATGCCATAAACTTTAAAGCCTACATTGTGTGCTCAAAGCTAACCAGGGTAAATGTTTCTGCTCTTCTACTCTTTGCAGAATGCAACACACACTATCAGCTGCTCTCAGTATAGCTTCATTTTAGTTTATTATTAGTTTTTCTTCCTCTCACATAATGTTGCAGAGTGTTTATTTCTACTGCCCAATGTGCAAGCAGGTCTCTCTCATTCCCTTTTAGACTGGCATCCAGGAAATGAAAGAAATCATAGAGACCCAGAAGGAGCTGGACATTAACTACCAAGAGCTTATGTCAGCAAGGCAAGGGAGTGGGGAAACAGTTACCTCCATGTCTCTGAAAAGCATCGAACACAAGCAGCAGCTGGGGAAAACTGAAGACCTAAAAAGTACCCATCATCTTTCCAGTAGGGCCATGAAACACAGTGCTCTGTCTGTAGAGAAACTCAGAAAAATTCAGGCTGACAGGTGAGCAAAACACAAATATGATGACTGTGGGGGATGCTCAGAGCTGTAAAGTTCTCAGTCTCTCTCTTGAAAGCAAAAATACAAGCTTCCTCTCTCCTACTGCTGGTGTACCTCAGTCTTGGTCCGGAAGGAGTACCTCTAAAGAGAGCTTCATAGGCCATTTAGTTCTGGCCTTTGCTTGCCTCTGGATGCCAAGTAATGACAATCAGTTTATTTTGAATGGAGTTGCAAAGTATTACCCAATTGGTAATGGTTGCATGGGTGGAATTCATGCCAGGTACTAGCCAGTGCTGATGTTCTGGTGTCTGGAGTCAGGTTCCCCTAGCAGATATGTACAGGCAAAGTGGGATCCGAGCATTGTCTTGTGAACTCAGTTATTCTGCAGGGCACACAGAGCCTCTATGGCACCCCCAGCCATTCTGCTTTATAGAACAGATAATGTACATAAAGACCAAAGGGTTTCTTTCTTTTTTTAAATAAATTTTATTCCTGCACCTAATTCAGTGCCTTGATTTGCAGAAATACCAGCAGCCTTTGGTTTAAAAGACAGACTGGGGAGCTGAGCATTCAGTATGCATTTTTCTGCATCCTGGCTTCTGTACTTTAATGTTATTTCAACAAAGGGCTTAAAGAAGATCCTAACACAAATGAGGAAAATGCAGCTAAAATATAAATACCACATGCACCATGAAATTCAGTAAACTGGGCATGCCCATGTATTTGTTACGATCAGCTTAGGGCTGTACTGGGATATTTTGGCACCCAGATATCCCTTCATAGACACACTTTCTGCATCCGCAGGTCTCATTTTCCAAGATCCACCTGTCATCACTACTGCAGGCCAGCAGCTTTCTTCCTAATGGCAGCGCGGTCTGGCACAGCATGGATATGTTTGTGCCTCTTTGCTATTTCCTAGAGTAGCATTCAGGGCAGCATTTTTAAATTATAAACTTCAACCAACTCCTAATACAGAGTTCTCCAGATGTACAAGAAGCAGATACCATGCAAGAAGCACTCCTGGGTTTGGTAGGACGTAAGAACAGAAATGGGATCTTATATTTCCCTACCTTTTCAGTGGTAAGGTGATGGATAAAGGTGCCAGACACTGTAGTACCAGCACCTATAAATTACTTTTGTGTTCCTTTTCTTCCTGGCAGGCAGTATGCAAGTGATGTAATTACAGTCACTATGAAAAATATGCAGGAATCGGGAACATTTAATAGCCTAACAGAAGCTAATGAGAGAGAGAAGGCAAAAAAGAGCAAGTTTCATGACATCCTCATCAGGTCAGTGTTGTGTTCAGTACTTCCCTGTTTAACTGCTGAAAGCCAAAGCCCATTCCTGCTCAGTGCATACTAAAAAGGAAAAAAAAACCCAAAATACAGAAAGGAGTCCACTTTTTCAACTTGAATTATTCCATCTGCTTTACAAACTGCACTTCTTTCCCCTTCAGAAAGAAATAACTGATGGTTCTGATACTGATCTGAGCTAGGAGTTGCCTGAGCTTTGACCACAGTGGACACCAGTGTCTGCATTAATGCAAATGCTGCCCCATATCAGTTAAAACAGAATGTGATGTAGGAGCTCCCTGATCTTTAACCCTTGTCCCCAGTGAAAGCCAGAGCAACAGAGAATGTGTTCAAACCATGGCCAGCAACATATGGTCTTTAGGTTATGTGATGCCCAGGAGAATCTGCTCTGACCCATATGCTAATATGCTCCTTTTTCCCAGTAGCAGCGAGGGGCTAGCACATATGGTGACAGAGACAGTTGTCTTATTTAAGGCTAATCCACCAGCCACTGCACTATTGATCTTGTTCTGTCCCAAATCTTATAGGGTACGGATTTGTTATCATCTCAGCTCAAACTGGTGATTCCTTAGCTCAAACTTCTGTGCACTAGAGGTTTGGAGTTTTTTAGCATGGGAAGCTCTGGTTCAGTCCCAAGCCTGTCAGAGAGAACAGCAGTCATCAGAGAAGTATTTGAGCATTTTAAAGCTACTTTGTTCTGTGTAGCAGCTCAGGCCCATCATTTAGGGTAGACAGCAAAGCTGCTGTACGTCATGATTTGTCATGAGTCCAACCTACTGGAACAGGTCCGGTGGTGGCTCAGGGGTCTGCCTCAGGGGCAAGTCCCCAGCTTCTAGTGAAATGTCCGATTTCAAGCATGAAACCCAACTCAAAACCAAGGGATTTATTGTTTATCCATGGAAGGGACAGAAAGCAAAAATGAAAGCAGCAATTGCTTGTGGAATAACTATCCAATACTGGAAGGTGGAAAGGAGCAGACGAATTATAATCGGAAAGGACGTAATCCTTTTTATTCCATTCTGTCAATCATATCTAGCCACTATGTTGTCTGTTCCACTATACATTCTTTTCATGGAATGAACTTGATCTGTCTTTCAATATAATATATACTTGTCTGGTTTTGTGTCAATATACTAGTCTGAAAGCAGTCTGCAGTAAGACTGGAACTCCTTATCAGGAGATTTTGTTCATCACAGTCACCCAGCTAAGGACTCTGAAAATGAAATGCATGTTTGATTGTAAGGTTGGGATAGGGTACAAAGTCTCAGTCTCCCAACTGTAGTATTTACTGGTTTTAAATCAAATCATAAGCATAAAAACTTAGAAAAGCACTCCGAGTAAAATAAGGTAATAAGACCTAGAACTTTACTGCATCTGTTTTGTTTTAGACAGGTAAACACCTCTCTAGCTTTTGGCCTTCACTCATATCCTTTCACGGATCTCAGAACCTGAGGCAGTGTTTTTTGAAAGCTTTTAAGTGTGATATGAAAAAAACATTCTCCATACATATGATGAAACCTGCACAATTTGGCACTGTCTGCTGATTAGGCATGCTTCTGCACGGAATCAGGGAGATTTTTGCCTGAAATGCAGAAACTGTGACTCAATGATAGGCATCTTCCCTCTCTGCTATAGGAATCACATCATCCTCAAGTCCACTCCAGGCTTTCAAGAAAAGCATGCCCTGGTTTTTGGCTCATTCTCCCTTTCGTTCCCATCCTCCTTGGTCAGTCTGTGCACCTCTTCTTTCAGGATTTACTTACCAAGTCACTAGCTTTGGTGAGAAGTCTTTGTTTCTGACTTGCAGATGTGCTGCCTGCTGGAGGCTCAGGGTGAAGAGATTAATGCCTTTTTTGCTACTCAGCCACAGGAAGCAGCTTGTCTTCTGCTGGTCTGAAGAAGCAGGCCAAGCTTTTGTGTGCACTTCTTTTAGTTCAGCTGTCAGAAACTCCTTGAGCGAGAAGGCTAAGTGGGGCAGTGTTCAGCTAGGTGCCGCAATGTATCAGGAGACAGGAAGTTCCCCTTCTAGGTAAACAGCTCTTGTCTTTTTTGATATATTCAAGTGATTGTATTTTCCCATTTTTTTTCAGGGAGGAGGAAGGAAAGAAGGAGATAAAGTCACTTGAGAAACAGCTGCAAGATGTCAAGAAACAAACCGAAATAGAACTTCAGGTGAGAACACAGCACTGGGCATCAAGCCAGGGGGGAAGCCTGTTAGCAAGCTTGCCTCTGCTGCCCAGGAACTAGCACTCAGATGAGAGGACATGTGGCATATATAATGATCCATCATTTAGGAATATAGAAGCAGAATAATTGCAATAAAGATTTGTATTCTGATAAGCCTGCTAATGACTTTAAGAGCAGTGTCCAATGGCTTTCAAATGGGAGCTCAAAATGCTCATAATCATGAGAGACCACGATCAAATTAGAATACCCCAAAAACACTGCTGGGAGTGGCAAAGCACGGACATCTGCAATCAGTAAGAAAGAGGTTATCTGCAGATAGCAGTATCTAAGGTTCTGTCATACTTACTCATGCAGACGTGACACCTGGCACAGAAGAAAGTGTGATGATGAGGAGTAAGAAAGACAGACGCGTGGCATAGGGGCACGTCATTTTTCTACCTACAATTTTGTCTGGGGAAAATGTCATGATTTTAATCTATTTTTTTAGGCTTCCAGATATTAGAAAATCCCAAACATGGGAGTCCTACACAAGGGCAGATCGATGTTATTGCACATATGCTGTCAACTTGATCTTTTTGGAAAGCTTCATCCCTTCTGTCTGCAGCATGCAAATGGTGTGTGCACGCACAGTAAATCTGGGGCATTCTGGACATGTCAGACTTGCTACACAAGTGCAGATCAATCGAATGGCCTATCACTGGTCACTTTGATGCTCACCAGACAGCTCAGACTTGATGCTTATGTGTGCTTTAGAGCAAAAGCACATGCAGTTCTGTGCAGAAACATGGAAATGTAGCCTAGCCCTGCTGAGGCAGGAAAGAGTGTGTGATAGAAAACAAACAAAAGGCAGGCAGGTTCAGAGCTACACAAGGACTGGAAGAAGGAACAAGAATCTGACGCTTGGTTCAGTACTGAGCAAGAGGACAGCAAGGGCATCTGAGGAAAGAATCGGTATCACTGAATTTTGTCTTTGGACGAAAGCATGGACAGTAATCAAGCCAGGATATAGTTGGCTACAGAGAGGAATTTTAAGCCACTGACATGCTGGTGAAGTACAGTTTATAGAACATGAAGGTTTTGTGTTGGCAGCCTGGATGAATGTGCAGTGGAAAGTTTAATTGTAAATACAGGATGGTTGTAAGAACATGAAGGATCTATTGGTGCTGGTAGTGTATGCAGCTATCTATAACTGACAAAACACCAGAAGTCCAGGGGAGATATCAGAACAGCAGAGAAGAAAGCAGGAATGTACAAGATGGGAAAATTCATTTAGGTCAGTATTCATCTACTAGCGGAGATCCTGGAAATGCATAACGTACACTGGGAAGTGTAGCAAGACGAAAAGAACACTGGAAAAAAACTGTGGACATAACAGAGAGGAGAAAGAAGAGGAGTCAGTGAAGGAAATGGAAAGTTAGCAAGTTAGGAGACAAACCAAGAAAGAATGGCTGTGGGAACTAAAAGAGAAATGCAGGATGAACTTTCTTCCCTACAGATTTGAACAGAACATCTAAAGGATATAGAGGTCAGAGCCAGGACTGAAAAGGGGAACTGTATACCTCATTATATACTTACTTACTGCCACTGGAAATGGTATGGGAGCCTATTTCCAGGTGCTATGGAACAACCCAAAAGTCCCTTGACATCTGTGTGACAGTTAAATGAAATAAGCTGGATAGTTTGTCAGGCTCAGAGACTGTATGTTGTCTGTTTGCTTCTGCTTCTGCACATTGTCCCATCTCAGTCAGATTCTGATGGCTCCTGGGAAGCTCCTGTTCTCCCACTCCCCAAGCTAGTGAATACGATGAGGTAGTCCTCCTTCTGTGTAGTGCTCCTCAAACCTCACAGTGTCTGTGCACACAATATACGTATCCGGTTCTGGTTTAATGCCTTCCCAGGGACTGGTGTATAGGGGGCTGTAATCATCCCATCTCGCACTAGCAGCAATGTCCTGGCACTGTGCAGTCAGGCTGGGCACTTCTCTGTGTCCTGCCCTGCACCTCTCCTACCTCTTGCAGTCGTAAGAAGGTGTGTAGCTCCCATGCTGAGAGGGTGCTCTTCTCCGCGTTCTTTCAGTACCTTCTGCTAATTTGGTTCTTGCTTTTTGCCTCATCAAGTGGGATCTGCGCTCATCTGAGATTTTGTTTTTATATTTCCAGCTTAAAAGTTCTTTTCTGGGCTTCCTTATAGTTTCAGCTTTGATAACAAATCAAAGACAAGACTACTTTCAAGTACTGCTTTCCTCCTGTGCCAAAAATAATGGTGTCTCACTGTGTCTCCCAAGGGAGAGTAATTTCTGTTCGCTTCATATGGGATTTTCCCATAGGCAGTTTTACAGGCACTTGCATGATTTGTCACCTTGCCAACTAATTAAAAACAAAAATACAGCTTGCTGATTTTGGAGTACTTTGAACAATAATAATGCACAGACCTGTAGACAAAAGCCTACATGGTTGTCTCCAGTCTAGTGGATGAGAAAACAAAAGTGAGCAAATCTAATCATGGAACCAGAAAAACACGGTCTTTGCTTCACGCATGTTGCCTGTATGTTTGTATTTTCAGCCTTGCTACCTCTTAATGAGATGCTAAGTAATGCTCTATTAGCCTGCTCAGCTCATTTTTCTTTCTAATGGAACACAAATCAAATGCTAAATGTTCTTATATATTTTGTTTTCTTTCCTCTTGGAAAGCACTGATGTCTCTAAAGGAGCTGAAGTTATCAGTCTGGTTTTGCTCTCACCCCTCTGTGCAGGAGCATGACCGATAGCTGTAGTTTGGCTGCAGGAGTTCTGTTTGCTGCTGCAGTGTTCATTTTCTAGCTTGTACAAAAATACTTACTTTCTCCGGTTTCCTGGACAAGCGACGGCAGTCTGTACAGATTTTGAAACAAGTTAATATCGTATAGGACTATATAGTTTAACATAAAAATTTAGGAAATGTAAACTTTAGAATTCCTGCATTGCTATTTACCCAAAGACTTTTTATGTCCTGTAGGTTTTGTGGTATACTCATGCCATACATGTGTGCAAGTCATGGTATAGTTTTATAACAAGCAGTAATATTGCAGGCTACCTACCAGCCAGAAAATCAAGATGTTGCACCATGGTACCAGTGAAGACAGGTCCGTAACTTTTATTCTATGTGGGCTCTCATAATGCACCCTGCTCCACTGTATCAGTGCGTCACTCGGTAGTGCTTTTAGTAGCGCGACTAAAATCTGTCATGTTTCTTCCCTTATCCTCTCCCAGAAGGACAAATACATCAATGAGGTGTTCTGGGGGAATGTTTTAAATGTATATACACACCCATTGGTGCATGTTTCTACTGGAGAAATGCACCAGGTGATTACAGTGGAAGGCACAAGGTTTGTGATGGTCCTGAGCTCCTGGGTGACTTCATTCCACTGCTGGCAGCGCCCCAAGGCAGCTCAGCAGGACCCAGAACTGGTGCACTAGATCCAAACCTGGCTCCAGAGGGACAGGACTTTCAAAAAGAGTGCTGCTGCTGCCAACAGGGCTGCTCCCTCTGCCAGCAAACTGCCCCTCACACAGCTCGCTCCCGCAGTTGTTGGGACTGGAGGTGAGCTAGCGGAGGGCTGCAGAAGCCGTTATGTCAAAGCTGGGTGACCTTCCAGGCCTGCTGTCCTTTTCGTTGAGGCATTTCTTGGGGGTGTGCAGCATGGGGATGTTCTGGCAGCTGGGACAGAGATGCGGGCTACAGCCTTACGGAAGTGTCTGTAGGGCTGCACGTTGTGGTTTCAGGGGGAGCAAGTCCAGGCTGCAGCAGGTGTGTAGATCTAAGCATGTCTTCAGGCTTTGCAAGCTGAGATATCGCAGCTGCCAGTGGAGAGACTTGAGCTCATACACACTCGGTGTGGAAGCAAGGAGGCAGGCGGCAGGGCTCTCTGCCGGCATGCTCGCTGCCTGCACATAGCACAGCACCCGTTCCCCTGCCCCCTCCAAGTGCCTGCCAAATGGCGGGCAGTGGGTGTGCTGCTGGCGGCAGGGGGTTATCCGACTGCTGGAGGAATTCCTCAGACTGTTTACTCCTGTTTGCTATTTTTGTAACCAGCTATATTTTAAGTGACTGTAAGTACTAATTACTGTGGCAGAGCGGAGAGATCTAGGTGGCACTTGCAAGAGAGATAAATCAAAGTAAATGAAAACACAGGAGTGCGCATACCCTCTCCAGCTAAGCGCAGTTGCTTTTGCAGCAAAACAGCGTCTGTGGGGCTGACTCCTGTGGCACCGGATAACAGCAGCCGACAGGCCTCAGAGCTGATGCCTGCGAGCTGAGAGATCAGAGAAAATCAGCTTGTTTACCTGCTTGCGAAGCAGACTGGCTCTTGACAACTATTTCCTGGGTTTTGATCTTGGTCTCTGCCAGTTTTGTGATAGTTTTGGACACATGAGGTATGATTTTGCATCTTTGGTTTGGCAGATTCAACACTGAAGTCATCCCAAATAAGCAGCCCAGAGGTTTACAGCATTAACTATGAAAGCGCTCTGTGTCCTGGCTGGGACCTTTGCTATGATAAACCAGAATGAATAAATATTAACTCATTTTCCCAGTGCCTGTCCCTGAAGTTCAGGGAACAGCATACTCTACAGATGGTGCCCACAGCTTGTGGGCATTTACTGCTGCATTTACTGCGTGCAACCTAATACCAAATGTGCCCCAGTTCTGCAGCGCCAGGCCCATCAGCTGGGCTGCAGTAGCTGCCCACACGCCTGCAGCTGATTTTCCCTCTTCAAGCGAATGCGTTGCTGTAAACCACCAGTGGGGTTTTGCGTTTCACTTCCCATCTGCTTTGGATTGTGTAACCAAGCCCCCAGACTCCCCACCTCTAATGAAGATGTTTTACAACACCACAGACCAAATCCAAACCACAAACATGCCATACAACAAAGAAAACAAACAGAGCAGATGGGCCCCCATCCTAGCTGAGGCCTGGGATGCTGGAATCAAAAGCACTTTTTCCTCTGCTTTACTAAACTATGAAATGAGAAAGAAAATAACCTGGTGAAGTGTTCATGCTCTGCCCCATATCTCTGAGTACTCTGTAACCTAGGCTGAACCCTTCTTTTCTGACCAGTTTGGAGATAGCAGTAACACACTGACATCAGCAGTGCTTGGCTTTGCTGAGCCTCAGCACCACAAAAAATTGGTGTTTTTCATTAGCATCTCCCCAGTCTCTCTGCCAGCCCCTCAATTTAGCCATGATTCCACCATGACACAGGAAGACAATCTCAACATAAAGTGGTACGGTCACCTCCCGTGTCTACTGACCAGGAACACAACCCCTTCCAATGCCCACCAAAATTTCATACCGGGGAAAATAAAGGCCGTTACCAGAAACCTTAATAGAGCACAAATAGGTCATGTCTGTAGCTGTCTGCAGTCATATGATGATATGGCTGTAAAATAGTATCTGATATTGGAAACCTTAACAAAAATGTGAACGCATGACTTTTAAACCCACAAAACAGCATCAGCCAAGGCCCCTAATTGTCCTGAGCCTTATAAATGTACTTTACTCTTCCTAACTACGTCCGACAAGGGGTGCAGAGGGAAGGATTTTCCTTTTAACTGTTCCAAACTCTTCTTATAAGGAAACCTTTTCCAAATGAGTCATGCTGCAGAGGCTTCTAAACACAGTGCTATTGAGCTGGCTTCTTCCTGTGGCATTTTTCCATGTTTACACAGCTAAGGAATGTGAGGGTGCTTCAGAGACAAGATATGTGGGCTTCAAAACATTTAAATGCCAGCACTTTGGTATATCATCTTCAGCTGCAAGGTTTGGCTGATGAATGTCAGACCTGTCATAGCATGCCAGGAAAGCAAAGAGAAAAGCTGTAATGGAGCAATTGGGTGTGAAACCAGAGGCGTTAAGATTGAGCTTGCATAATTGCACAGGAGACTTTGATGACCTTTTTAACTCTTTGTACAAAAGTCTCGAGTTTTTCATTTTACAGTCGGTTCTTCCAAGTTCCAACCCCAGATTAATGAACTTTTATCTGTTACTCAAAGAAATTAATTAAAAAGGATTAAACAAAACAACAATCCCAAATCAAGCAAATGCACTTTACTTCCTGAGCACACTCCAAAAGCCGGACAAACGGGGCATGTTGGCTCAGGATTCTTGCCCATGGGGGAGCTCCTGGGGACAGAATTCCCCCAGGAAAGCTCAGCTCCGTTGCGAAACAAGGTGTGGGGAGAGGCTGGGAGCTCATAGCCAGCTTTTCTTTGGCACGTCTTCCTTGCCCTGGGTGTATGCTTTTATAACAAAGCGGGCACCATCTACCTGGTAAGATTTCAAGAAAGAGCTGTTTAAACATATAAGCGAGTCAAGATTAGATTTTCACCTGTTCCTAAGGTTGTGTTTATACAGTTTCTGCATAACTAAAAAAAAATGAATCCAAGGAATACTTTAGGAAATCAAACTTTGGTGTACGTGGGGCTGAGGCATTATCCTCCTCTTACAGATGCTCACTCACTGAGATGGCCTAATCCAAGAGGTTAGTAAAGCCTAACTTTAAGCAGCTGAAATTATTGGGCTTCTTTCATGCTTATAATAAGCATGCCTGAATCCATTCCTGGACCAGAGACCAGAAGGCCTGGCTTCTTGTCCCTCTCTGTTCATCACTCTACCCTCTCCAGAGGTAATCACTCCTCGCTGATGGGTTTATTGCCTTCTGTATGGGTTACAAATCAAACTTCCCTTTGAAGTAGAGGCTGAAATGGGGCAACATTCAGGGAAAGTGTGAAGCCTATAGCCTTATCCCTTCTGAGTTTATCAGGGAGTGGAGAGATTAAGAAACAGTGAGCTCACCTCAGTCTCCAGGCTTGCTTTTGTGCTGCTTCTGTCTCCTCCACTAGAACCGAGATAATATGATTGTCTACCTCAAAGATGAGCTCCAAGAGATGAAGGCCAAAACGAACATGGAGATCTGCTACATGAAGAAAAGCACAGACCTCCAGGTCCACCAAACCCAAAAGAAGTGCAGCAATGCAGAGAATGTCCTGGACAAGGAAATTCAGGTAAGCCCTTCCCCACAGCCCCTACCGGAAGGCATCTCCAGCTAGTAAGGAGAGAGTCCTCCCTCCTTCCCCAGTTGCCCCTTTTGTTCTCCATCACAGTCACCAACGCATCTGTTTGAACTGGATCAGGTAACTCATCCAGGTTGGAAATCTTTATCTCTTCCATTGCTTCTCTGTATGGTCCTGTAAACAGCGACAGCACAGACGGCATGGCTGCAGGAGACAGTGGCTGGAGGCAGGGACTGCTTAAACTAATACCATCGTCAGAGAAACAGACCCATAACTATATCCAAAGGGTGTCGTTACAAGGTTATTTAGCAACATAAGCAGCTTGAGCTCCCAGCATTGCCCACAGCACATTATGCTGATAGAGCTGTTCGTGTGGCCATAAAGTGAACTGGACTAGAAAACGGTTCTGTTTTTGCAAGCATTTTGTTTTTTCCGACTGATCAAGGTCTGATCTAGTTGTCCCTTTTTCATGGATGGCCCAGGGGCAAGGACTGCCTCAGTTAATTTTGTCACTGGGAAAAATACCTGTGGCCTACACAGAGAGCTCCTGCGCCCTTGCTCACCAGCTCAGCTTTCAGCAGCACAGGTGTGCACACACATACGCACTAACATTGTCTCTCATGTTTTCTGTCTGCGCTGATCACAGAAGTTGAGGAGCAAAACTGATGAGGAGATTCGAGTCCACATGGAGATTGAAAATTTCCTCAGGCAGTACCATAAGGTATGTGTGACTCTCTGCTAATGCTTAAAATGGCAACTGATAAACATGATGTCATCAATTGGTGCCTAAAGAAAATCAGTTAGTGCCCCATCAGATTTACCAGGTTCATGATTGCTGCTGTTTGAATGACTGCTTATCCTCAAGTCTTAATTAACCCAGCTCTCCCAGACTTGGGATTTGCTACATTTGGATACATTTCCTTAAAATTAGAGTTCATGTAATGATTGGCATTCTTTATTGAGGTGTTACGGATTTTTCCTCCCTCAGATAGTTGTATTCAGCTAATTGGAATATTTAGACCTTCCTTGGCAGTAGCTGTGGCTCCCAGCGACTCAGTGAAGAGTGCTACTGCATAAAGTGAGGGCAACAGTTTCACAGACCCAAGTGTTGCACAGAGGGAGCACTAAGAAGGAAACGACACAAACTGCCAGCCCAGTTTTGCCTTGTCTTAATCTGAGGAAGAATCAGGGTTGGATAATTGCTAAATCACAATTATTGTACCCATTTTCAGCATCAAACAACCATGAATGTCCTTGTTCTGTGGATCCAGAGGTTCAGAGCTTTCCTGTCGTCAACAGCAGTGCCCGTTACAGTGAATAACACTGGAAAGCATCTCATAAACCATGACTGGAAGAAAACCTGTACTACTGCAGGGTACCTAACATCACTGCCAGTATGAAATATAATAGAAGATAATAAACTTTAAAAAATGTAATTCGAGTGCAAAAAAGTGCTGTATCTAGAGAGCAATTAGTGTCCTCCATATCCCAGAACTTCAGTCTGATCAATGCTTCATAGTGAGAGGACTTTCCATGTACAAGCTGCAGCCTATTTGACCTCTACCAGAAGGCGAAGTGCAAGCCTCTCTGTACTCAGACAGCAGCTGGTGGCTTTATAGCGGCCCACAGAGAAGAGGATGACCATGCCCTCCATCTCCCTTGTGTGTCCAGCTGTGACACCATAATGAGATTGATGCTTTTCCTCAGATTATTTTTCCATGCAAGCAATCATGGTTGTTGCTATGGAGAAGTTATTTGTGAATGGGAGGAAGTCATCTGGGTGACTGTTTCAGCAACACCTGCCCTCCTATTCACCAGTGAGACAAAGCCAAGTTCACAACCTGAAATAGCGTGAAGTGCTGTCCCCTGGGACCTTATTCTGGTGCACTGGCTTTAATCCAGAAAGTGGGCAGGGAGTCAGGCAGAGGATAAAAGCTTTCTCACTGTCAAATTCTGTTTCTTAAACCCCCCTCCTTCTGTATACACACAAAGAACGGCTTCTGGTTGTCATTTACTTCGCCAGGATTGACTGTCCACAAAACTAACCCCCAGTGCTTCTCCATTCTTCATGCACCTCTGAAAGCGCAACCCAGTCTCGTCATCCCCAGTCCAGTGCTGCGGCTTCCGTGGTGTGGTGAACCCCCAGCGAGGGGCCTGCAAGCCACCAGTTATTTATCACTAGTCCTAGGTGTTTGATCCTTTCAAGGCTTAGACGAGAAGGAAACACTGACCATGCAAAATTTATGGGACTCTTACCACCATCCTGAAAGCGGGCCAGATAACAGTAGCAAACCTTTCCCCTGTACGCTCTTGGTACCATGCTAAGCACCCCTCTATCCCCATACAGATGGTGGAAGAGAAGCTGGAATGCTGGGTTGACAAGTATGAAAATGACGCAGATGCTAAAGACGAAGAACTGGGTGCCCTAAAAGCATCAAAGGCAAACAACTTGGAAATGCTGCAGAGACTTGCCAAGGAGGTAAGACATCAGCAGCAGCTCAGTGCTCAGCCATGCAAAACTGCATCCTGGCTTCAGATAAGGAACCAGGACCATGGAAAAAAGAAATCAGTAATCTTGAGGTGTAGGGTGCAATTATAAGCACTGGTCCTGGGAAGGCAGGGACCGAGTAGCCATCTTCTCTTTGCCACCTGTGACATCATGGAGGGATGACGATGTTTCCCCTACAGCTATTTTCAAATACCAGCAAGTAATCAGAGAGCTACCGACAGCCTTTGTGAAGGGCAAAGACACTGTTCCATCCCGCTGATATGCCTCACCTTAGTTTGTTGCCTTAGTCTGAACAAATCTGCTCCTTCTAGCAACATCTGGGTATGACAGGCTGAGAGTGGAAAAGGCAGCTCCATCCCTTCCTGCAGATGCACATTCACAGCTGCACAGGGCTTTTGTAAGGGAACTGGTTCCAGTTAAAACCATTCCTGCTCCCCCTTGGTTTCTTGGTTAACTGCCGGGCTCTGATCACAGCTATGCAGGCACAGCGGAGCAGGCAACGCAGGGCAGAGAAGTGTCTAGAAAAAGGGGTGTTTTAAAGCCAGAAGGAATGAACTTGTAATCATTCCTTACAGTCACTGGGTCTGAGATGATGGGACCGAGTTAGATGTTTCCCTGCTTGTGGGCTCATTTTTCGCTCTGTACACTGTCATCTCAGTGTCCCAAGTGTGTTTGTACATCATCTGCTGCCTAGCCTGGGGGAGCATGGGCCCTTCCCGCCACCATCTGTTGCCTGAGACGCCATCAGACAGCCATTTTACAGCACAGGATCAGAGGGTTAATTACACCCAGGCCGTGAGAGGTTTCACTTTGGCAGCAGCTCTCAGTGCCTTAGGACTGATGGTGGTAATTAGCAACATTTGCCATCTGGATTCAGGAAAGATCAAATAAAGGAGGTGGGGGAGGAAGGTCCACGCTTACACATGACCCTTGGGCTGCCAGGGAACTCCTTGGCGCACAGGGTGGGGACCCGCACCGCGACCCATGGGCCAGAGCAGCCCCGGCTGGGCTGTGAAAAGCGTGTAGCAAGGATGAGACCAGTAGGCAGCCAGAGGAGAAGACTCCTTGCACCGGGGTCCAGGTGAGCCCAGCCCTGCCCTGACAAGCTGCTGGGCCCAGTGAGCCTGAAAGCTTGGCCCTGCAGTTTCGGGGATGTATTTTTCATGCGGCTGTTGCCACCCCTGTGCTGTCTTGCAGTGCCAGATGTTCGAGGAAGCCATCATCAGTGACCGGGCGGAAAAGAAGGCTAAAAGAAGACAACTAGAGCAGGATGCCCTGGAGCTGAAGAGCATCCTGAAGGTAAAGGGGAGCAAAGCTGAGGCAGTGCTGTTCCATCAGCAGTTGGGAGCTAATCATTTGCACCACAGGTTTGTTCGGGCAGAAAATGGCCTGAGAAAGTCGTCTGGTGTGGCGTGGCACAAGCAAAAGACAGATGAAGCCTGTCCCTTTCTTCTGAGGCAGACACAAAGCCAGCAGCTAGCTGCAGGTTTGAGAAGGGACCGCAAGGGGAGAAGCCAGTCTCCTCGAGTGGTCTGGGGCCATGCTCATCACACCAGCCCCACTGCGTGGGCGATACAGGGAGGGTCATGGAGCAGTTCCCCTGCTCGTCCCCTTGCCACCAGCAGCAGGTGCCCTCGGTCCAGACATGGATACCTTCAGCGTAACCAGCATAGGCCCAACCGCTGCTGTGTGGGCCAGGGGTTTCCTCCTGCAGCTGGGGAGCACAGGAGAGATGCTCTGGCCATTGAGCTGTACCAGGTACCCCAGCAAGTGATTTCCTCTTAAGACCTCTCTCTCTCTCTCTTGCTTCCAGCTGCAGGCCTGGTGGAGAGGTACAATGGTCCGCAGAAACCTTGGGCCCCACCAGGCCCTCAGGAAGATTCGGGAGAAACAGCTATCAAAGCAGAAAGAAAAAGGGAAAAAGGAAAAATCTGGAGCAAAGAAAAAGACAAGATAAGTAAAGAAACCTGGCCACAGACAGGCTCCAGGGCTGTTGCTGGGCAGGGCACTGCGGTCTGCCTATCTCTGACAGAAGAAAATAAACCATGTAACAGAGCTCAGACTATTCTGGAGAACACAGTTTATGACAGACACAGTTAAGCTGAAGCTGCAGTAACTCTTAAGATCTTGAAGCTGCCCTTGTACAGCAAAGATACTGTTTCTCCAGTAGAAAGGGGAACTGCATCAAAGCAGTGAGAAACGCTACATCCCCCAAAGTGCTTTATGGAAATATGACAGCTAGCAGGAGGTAATTCTGTTAACAGCCCAGTAACTCACGTGCTTGGGATGTTCTGCACCAAGAACATCCTCTGCAGACCCCAAAGCACTGGCTGTGGCTGAAGCGCTAGTGTTTGCTGTGGCTCTGAGTAAGGCAGGGAGGCCAAGTCACCCGCATCTGGGCTCAAGCAGCACCCTCCCTGCTGTCAGTGCCGGCGTTAGGTCGGCAGGGGGAAAACCGCTGACAGTTTGCAGTGTAAACACAAGGGCAGTCAAAGCACGCAGGTTTCCATTCCCACAGTCCTGCAAAATGTCAGCACATAGACAGAATAGCTCCGAATGCCCTCCAACCGAGGGAAGGGACAACGGAAAAAGACAGCTGGCCGCGCTGCCTGCAAGAGCTGATCCGTCACAGCCGTACCCACCACCCTGGCCACCGTCTCTGCGCAGTGAGATGAGGCAGTAGGCAGGGGGCAAAGCCCGCTGCTGGGGAGCAGCGTGCTGCTTTTTTAACCAAGAGGGGAGCCCTCTCTCTTGACACAGCTATCAATCACGTGCAGGTCTGTGCACAAAGCAAAATTAGCCCTGCGGTTGAGCTGGCTGGTTTCTGACACTCCCACGCAGGAGAGCGAGCTCAAACCATACAAAGTCTGCTGTGCTCTTTGTGACCAGCCCGTGCTGGCCCCATCCAAACATCCTCATGTCCAAGCTTAACTGTGCCAAAAGCTTGGAAGTTCAAGTGAGATGACTGAAATCACGAGCAGAGAGCCTTTGGCTCAGAACTCTGAATGGGAGGGAAGGGGCTGGTGCCTGACTATGAGGCCGAGCCGATTGTCAAGGGAGCACTGAAATTTCAGACACTCTAGACAAACTTGCGTTGGAAGTATCAGTATTACCCCTGGAGCACTGCCGCCTGCTTAAACCAGAATGCGTTCCCATTCCAGCACTGGCACCAAAGCTGCGAACACACTCGCTCGCTTTCCGTGGTCCCCAGGCGTGGTAAGAACAGGGATCACTCCAGTCCGATGCTGGCAGGAGCTGAGCCAGGACTGTGCTGACACCCCGCGTCTGCACCACGGCTCCTTATTGCGGGAGGCACCGCAGAGCCACCTCGGGAGTTACGTTCCTAATTTTAAGTCATCTTTTTCATGCGCTGCTGACTCGGTACATTTCATTTAGGACTAGTATTTTCCGTACGTGGTGGGTGTTAACAGGTGACCTGTTTGGGTGGAGGGAATGAAGTTTGATCATAAACTCTTCAGAGGTTTTGAGCTAAGGAGAAAGTGGGACAGAACGGAGAGGCAGTAGATCTCCACTGTTTGTATCAAACTCTAGGCACACGTTAGTAATACAACCAACTGAAATCTGAAGCGTGGAATCAGCTGGGCTTTGCTTGATTTTCAGCAGAGAACAAAATATAACGTAATCCTGAACGATCCTCCGCACCCAGGGATCCTGCCAAGGCTGGGCTCCCCTTCAAGCCCCAGTTCCCGATGCCAGCGCAACAGCGCTTGTTTTTATGGTACATCAGGTCCCCGGAGCCGCAGTGAACAGGTCAGCAGGAAGTTAACACACTGCACTGGGTGGTGAAGTAATTCAAAACTTCTATTTTGGTGACTGGTATCTCAAAGATAAAAAACCCAAACAAACCCAAAACCATAAATTGCATGGGCACAGCAGCACGCTTCCAAGATCAGGAAGCTCTGTGTCTGCATGTATAGGGGAAGGGGTACTTTTTCTTTCAAAAATGATATAATTAAAAAAAAAAAGCAACAGTAGAACTGGGTTTACTAGTTCAGTAAGGTGGAGAGTGCCGAGATCTCTTTAGAGTCCCAATATGAGCGTCCTGGCCGCTGGGTGATAGTGTGATGGGGGCAAAGGCTTTTAACCTGACCGAACCCCCGTGAGCTTACGCCTCCCAGGTAAGAACAGCACGCCCTTGCCCGGGGACCGCGGCCACCCACCCGTCCAGCTCCTCCCGGCCTCCTCCGCTGCACCAGCCCATCCCAGAGGCGCTGCTCTCCTTACGAGCCTTACCTTGCTCGGTCAGAAGCCGCAGTGGATTTCTGTTTCTTGGCTGTACAGCTGCCAAGTAAACAGGCTGAGCGCCTGTGCACATCCATGATGTTTTTCTGCAGGGAACACCAGGAGTCACAAGCCCTTTGGAGAAACTAGTTTCAAGGGAGATAAATGGAGAAGAAAGGCTGGAGAATGAGAGGCTGGTTAGGAGGCGGCTTTAGACAGACGGGGAGAAATGACCACCAGGAGGGAGCTGTGCAGCCCTCAGGAAGGCAGGAACGGAGTTGTCCCAAGTGACTGATGGAGTCCCCAGGAGGTCAAAAAAGGATGCTGAAGCAGCTTGGTGAGCAGGGAACGGTACCACAGGGGCATGCAGCCTGTATGAAGTAGGGAGGGTTTGTGGATCTCTGGCAGTTTCTAGGCCTTGCTTTTGGTTTTTTTTTTTTTTTTAAATAATAAAAACCACGAGGAAGGAAGAAAAGAGGAGTAAACATTTTGGCTAATAAGAACCAACCTTTCAAATGCTGCGGGGACATGAAGCAGGGGTGCAAGTTTTACAGATCAAACCCAAGACAGGATAAAACCAAGCAAAGGACAAGAAGGGCCAGGGGCACCAGTGCTGGCAGCAGCAAACTCCCCAAACATAGAACGTAGATTACTTTGAGAAGGAAAAGAAAAAAAAGGGGGTGGGTGGGGAGGGAGGAGCCAAGGATTCTGTACACAATCACTGCTTCTCAGCGTCTGGGGAAGGTTAAAAATATCCCCAAGAAAAAGCTTCTGATGTGGCTGCAGAATGTGTGTAAAAATGCTGGAATTTTTCTAGAGAAACAAACCAGGTCCATTAACTGCCAGCTGTGACGATGGGGAAGGGGGATAAACACCCGACAGAGGATGTGACATTCATCGACGCAACAGAAAAACAGCAGGAAGAATACTGTAATTCATGTGAGTTTTAAAACTTTATTTCAAATTACCCATGGTTTCCTTTTATATTATCAATGTGCTAGAAGTTCACACTACTGGCAGAATACAGGCAATTTAAAATAAAGTGTACAATAGCCAGACACATTTATATGTAACAGACTTAGAAATTATGGAATGTATTTACAGACGTACAGCATGGGATGAAGCTTTAAAATCCTTTATTAATTACACGTTTACACTGTTTTCAGAAATAACAAAATTAGATCGCTTTGTAAAACATCACAATATCTACACAAAAGCATTTTTTTAGCTGTCCAAATTCACCTTAAAAGTCCTCTGTTTCTAAAACATCTTTTCAAAGAACCGTTTATTGTCATAAAAGGGTAAAATACCATTTGCCATTGTGTCACTAGCAAGAACAACAGAGGTGTTCTCGGCGCTGTAAAAAGTTGTCTCTGATTTATTTTAAGCAGGCCACCGAGGTCGGGGCCTTTACGAAAGGGGGAAGACCCAAACCCCGGCTGTTTTGCCCTGACCACCGCACTGCCATCAGGGACTCCCGAGTGCCGGTGCCGCTCGACCTCGAGTGCGCAGCCTTGCTGAGCCTCAAACGCTGCTCAGTGCTCGCCACGGTTTGAGGAGGGATGGTGACACAATGGAGTCAGTGTGTGAACTCCAGCAAGCACGAAACACTCAGATGGATTCCTCCCACATCCTCCAACACAAATGCCCCAGAGAGGAAAGACAATTGCCTCTTTGCTCTAACACAAAATAGAACTTTATACACATTTTCTCTAAAACATTCTTTTCACGGGATACAACAAAAATTGCACATAAATACACTGAAAAATCCCAACCCATTTTGCAAAAGAGAACTGCAGTTGTTTTTGGTATAATACATTAAATAAACCGTATGATGGAACTTCAGGTTTGGATTTTTGTCCTAAACATCTGGTCAAGATTTAGTGTTTGCCAGCATGAAAACACAGGATTATAAACTAACATGACCGCATACACTGAAACTGCCAGAGTGAACCGTTGCTTAGAACGAAGTACGTGATACTGGGGAGAGCGCGCCTGCCCAGCCATGCAACCATTGCTCTTCACACGAACTCAGCTGCCGTGCGTACGCACCGCTCGGACAGAAGAGTAGCTGTGTTAACCAGACACGACGGGAAATAGCCATTTCTCGCAGTCAGGCTCAACTCCCCACCCCATCAATTCCTAAAAACTAGTATTAATGAACGTCAAACTTCCACCAACCTGAATACTGTTAAGTTTCATTTTCCCTACGTGCTGGAAGCTGGACTGGAGCAAACACCACACCCTCACAATTCCACGTATGGAATGGTTTTCTTGAAACGGGAATATGTAAATAGTCCACAAAGGGTGTGCTATTGAAGAGTTAACGTGCCCCTGTAACAATACAAATGACCTAACGTTGAAAACTAAGATGAAGTCAGTGCCCCCCTCTTTCAAATTCTGTGCAGAGACCAACACACAAGAAACACTTGTGCTCTGTACTGTTGGCTGCGAGTGGCAGAATCTTCTGCTCAGCAGACTACAGCAGAGACTTCAGACACTTTTATGTAATCCTTTAAGAATTACCAACACTCCTTGCAAGCGAAATTAAGTGAAACAAGACCTACTTAAGGAGGAAAGTATGTCTGTATGGAGCTGCTCTCTTCCTGTGTGCATTGCAAGTTACTGGCGTTTTCATTGCTTGCGGGGCTCAGGACAACACGCTTACCCGCTATGAAAAGGTTTCTCTTTTCAGCTGTGCGGTTTTAAATACCC